GGTTAAAGGAAGCAGAGACTAGGAGATGCAGGAGATGCTGAGGGTGGGGCCCAGACCAGCAGCATGGATGGTGATCAAGCATGGAAAAGGACAGCTAGACCACTAGGCCTGGACTCCACCCCATGCTACTTAATGCCTCCTTCACCAACATCTCTGAATGTTCTACTCATCCACATCTCTGGACCCTGTCTCTTCCCTCTGCACCCTGCCACCAGAAGCCTTGTGATGCAGCTCTGCTTTCCATCCTAGGCCCCATCCCTCTCCTTTCTGTATTCCACATAGCTGCAAGGAAGAACTTTCCAGAACATAACTCAGAGCTAGTATTTTTCACTCCACTCCATCTCCAGGACTTGACAATTTGCTATGCCTTTTCGTCATGTATATAACAAGGTTCAGAGTCCCCTGTCCAAACTGTGTGGTCTTCACAAGGAGCTTCCACCCTAAGAAACGCCTCATTAATGTATTTGACCTTCAGAGTGGTTTCAGCTTTCCATGGTAGGCAACATGAAAACTGTCTGCACAGCAGTAAGAATTTACATTGTTAAGGGTGACTTCTAAGAACTCAGTCTTTTCCTACTACTGTGGACCAAAACAAGAATTCACAGAACAACTGATCTTCTTTTTCAGAGATCACAACAGACAACTGCAATGGGACCTGCCACACCAGTGCCAAGTATGTGTCCTCTGACCTCTGGGAACAATATAAACTCAATATTTCTCACTTCAGGCCCTATCCTGGGGGAAGTGGTTTCCCAACATCCTTTAAGAGAATGTAGGATAGATTTAAGGTAGAAACTGAGTGTCTCTGAAGAAACTGCCATCAGTTAGCCAGATCCAGGATGGCCAACAAGCAGCCAGTGACTTACCTAGCACATGGCAAGAATGCCAGTTGTCATCCCAGCCCATACCTCAGGGGCTCTTTTATGGAGGAGGCATCAGCTTCAGTACACATTGCCTCCAGTCTGCAGCCAAGCCTAATGTAGCTTCTGATTCCTGCCATAGGGCACATCCTCCTGTAAACTAATGAACAGCCTAGAAGCTGGGGTTAGACCTGAACCCACAGTCATCCTCCCTCACTCAGTCATCATGTGACCTAGGGTCACTCCTTTCCTTCCTCCTAGCCTCAGTTTCTTCACCTATGAATGGCAGCGATCATTATGGGCCGCTGTCTCAGAACACCCTGTGGATGACATGAATAAGCCCAAAGCTCAGCAAAGCACATGGGTAGCATTGTGAAGATGAGTGACTGCCCTTCCTGTGCGTACTGTGAGGTTTAGCTGGATTGGCTGTGATTTCCCTTGGCTGTGGTTGGGATTGTGGTAGGAATGGACTGTCCCCTCAAACAGTAGGCAGAGTTTTGGTATCAGGAACTGATACAGCAAATTGTCTCCGAACCTAGTGACATCACACATAGGCAATGAGGAACCGCGTATCTGTTGCCATGGCAACCATCATACATTCCCAGAATCCACTTGGCTCACCTCCCATCTTTACCTGCGAGTGGCTATGTCACAATCCAAATAATTGACCTCTCTCTCTCTCTCTCTCTCTCTCTCTCTCTCTTCCTCCCTCTCTCTCTCTCTGTTCCCCTTTCACCTTCATCTCCACCTTTGCCCCCTTCCCCCACAATGAACCCCACATGGCCTGGCGTGGTCTGTCCAGACTTAAGCCGTGATTCTAACACAACACAGGCCCTCAAGTGCTTCATTGGTTGGGGGCTGGATGCTGGACTGAAAGGGAATAAGTCGTATGCAGAACATCGAGTTTCTCTGAAAATGCCATTTGCCCTTTCTCACTGCAGCTGCCTTCTCGATCCAGATGGTAAAGCCTCGTGCAAATGTGCAGCTGGATTCCGAGGCAATGGAACAGTCTGCACAGGCAGGTGGAGCTGGGATCCGCTAGGGGCTCGTGTGGGCTGAGAGATCTGACGGGGCCTCAGGAACTGGTGCCAGCCACTGGTGCTGACTCACATGAAACTGACCAACTGACGGCACCCAGGGACAAGGCATGGCTGGGGCATGTTGGTTCGGGATGAGCAGGCCATTGCATCTGTTCTTTACATGAAACTACGTTGCATTTGAGCAGTGGCACACAACATTGGGAGCAATTGGAACCGCCTTCTGGCTTTAAAAGCTACAGATCTGATTGGCCAAGGATATGGCTGAGTCATTGGGACTAAGCCCTGGTTCTTCCAAGGTCCAGATTTGTGACGTTGCATGGGTGTTTAACTACCCTGAACCCCTTGTCTTGGTTGTAAAGTAAGCATGAACTACCTCCCTTGCAGAGTGCTATTAGGGTGAACTGGCCTCTCTGCGAACAACAGCACACTAGGGCAGAGGGCAGAGATCGGGCCCTGGCCTCATCATTAGACCCTGAGTTTGAATTGAAATACTTACCATCTGTGTTACTTCAGGGATGTCGCCTGACTGTGCCTCTTACCACGTGCTCATCTGCACGTTGTGAGTGATAAAAGAATCATTTACACTGGGGAGTTGTATACGATCCAGATTATGCCTATAAAGTGTAAGAGGTGTGAGCTAGTCTCAGGGTACATAAGCATATCCAGCACTAGAAAAGAAGAAACTCAGCAATCTTTCAGCTGCCTGCTACCAGGACAAACGCTGCTCTCATCCTTAATCAGGGAAACTTCTCTTTGCACTGAAGCTGACTGCAGAGATTCAGGGATGCTCAGGGTGCTGAGAACTAGTGACAGATGATGCTCAACCCTAAACAGGACATTTATAGCCTCCCACTAAGGCTTGGGGAACACTGGGGAGCAGGAACCAGAATGAATGTGAGAGCCAGAAGGTAGGGAGACAGGCCTGGAAATAACCTCTTCTGCATGTGACATGACCATTGCATCCATGGTCTCAGCTTCAGCTGCCTGCACTGGGCCTGCCCTAGGCTGAGACTGTTCTCAGTCAACTGTAGATTGGGGCTCTTTCTGCTGAGCTGTTGGCTACTTATAGATTCTGAAGAAAACAAAAAGGCAGAAACATTGGGGATTGGAGAGAAATTACTCAGAGGACTCTCCCACTTGTGCTGGCACTGACTGGAAAAGTCTTACTTATTTGTCGTCCTCCCTTCTGTAACAAACTGCTAAAGTTCAGATGGGAGTCAGCAGTAGAGCAGGCTGCTGCCTGTGTTGAGACAGTGTGTGGTAGTGACACGGGAAGCCCAGGAGAAAATCTGCCCATCTCTACACCATCCATGAGGTGGAAGGTTGGGGCTTAGAGCCATCACACCTCCTCAGCTATGGGAAAACCACAGAAGATAGGATGCTCTAAGTTCCACCAGTCTGAGTATATAAAAAAATTTAAAGAACCCAAGAAGTGTCTCTAGGGCCATTTAGGTTGTTCATTTTCTTTTCTCACTTTGTTCAATAAACATTTATGAGCTATGATTTATAAATGCCAACTGATCCATTCTGGATCAGTGCCTAGGCTCATGGCATAAAACAAACACAAATCCATGCACTAGCTCACACTGACCCTGCTAACACGTTCCTGCTCAGAAACCCTGATCTGCTTCCTGTGACATCAGAGAACTTTGTCTCTTCTAGATTCTCGTGTGAACAGAATTATGGATGCTGGTGTGTCTGGCCCCTTTGAATCACCCCTTTTGATGGTTGAGGTAGTGTGATTGTGTAGATAAACCACCCCCTCTATATCCATTTACCATCTGATTGATATCTTCAGACTTGGACTATCATAAATAAAATGTCTATGAATACTCAAATTATTCATGTATACGTGTGTGTGTGTGTGTGTGTGTTGTGTGTGTACACACAAACACACCAGAAGCTTTTAGCATCATTTTTCTCAGTTCCTTGTTCTGGGAGCTTAGGTCCAGACTGAAGAAGAACAATTAGTTTTCTAGACCATCTTAACCATCTCAGAGGATGCAGGCTGCCCTGATCCTGAAGCCATTTGTTCCTTGTAGAGAGAAGCACATAGTCTGATAGTCAAAACAGCTCGAAATAACAAATAGTGATTTTTTTCCCTTGTCCTCTGTTTCAGTCGGGGTTACTATGGCTATGTAGAAACACCATGACCAACACATCTTGGGGAGGAAAGGGTTTGTTTAGCGTCTGCTTCCATAGCAGACTCTTCATCACTGAAAAAGTCAGTACTGGAACTGAAACAGGACAGGAACCGGAAGGCAGGAGCTGATGCAGAGGCCGTGGAGGGGTGCTGCTTACTGCCTTACTCACATGGCTTGCCCAGTTTGCTTTCTTATAGAACCCAGGACCACCCTGTAGTATGTTATGACACCACCCACAATGGCCTGGGCCCTCCCCCATCAATCAGTAATCAAGGAAATGCTCTAAAGACTTGTCTACAGCCCAGTCTTATGGAGACGTTTTCTCTCTTGAGGTTCCCCCCTCTCTGACAACCGTAGCTTGTGTCAAGTTGGCATAAAACTGTTGAGCACACTCTCTGTGTTGAGAAATTAGCCACATTAACCCATTGCATGCTAGAGTTGTTCTAAAGACCTCCTTTTACCAATGGCTCAGGTTAAAATAAAAATGTCTCCTCTGTTTCTCCTTCTGCTGTGTCGTCTCTCCCTTGTGTAGCCATCAATGCCTGTGAGATCAGCAATGGAGGCTGCTCTGCCAAGGCTGACTGTAAAAGAACCACCCCAGGAAGCCGGGTGTGTGTGTGCAAGGCAGGCTATACCGGTGACGGCATCGTGTGCCTCGGTAGGTGACTGTCCCCTTTCTGTCTGGGAGAAATGGTGTCAGTTCAGAGCCCTGTTAAAACATTCTAGTGCTTGAGCTCTCGTTAGGACTGCTGCTGGGATCTTAATTCAATATGCCATAGCAAGAAAGTCTGCGGGTATGACAATGAAGAATATGCCCATGGAGGCATGAAGGCACTTTGAATGGAAAGAGAGACCCTTTCCACTTAAAACTTCTAACAGCAACTGAATGTCGCACATCTTTGCTGTATAAATTTCCAGAAGGCTGGGGAGGGGAGGGGCAGTAAAGAAAAAATAGCTTGGTCTACCAGGAGATGAATCTGAAGAGGGAAGAGGCGTGAAGTCCTCTCCCTTTTGGGGCTCTTTGCATGCTAGGGTAAAGGTCAGCCTTTCCCTCTCTCGTGGCAGCTGGTGGGCTGTACTGGCCTGGACTTCTAGCCCAGCGTAAGATTCTCTAGAGATGGGAATTCTCAAACTATTTTTACATTACTCTATTTTATTACATACCTATTTTTAAGTATTTAAATTTTTTGGTATTTTTAACAAAAAAAAATAGTGTCTTATGATACATAGTGTTTATACTTGATGGTGTAACAGAATAATACCTTGAATGTAGATATAACACTGAAGCAAACTTTGCCAACAGCATGCTCTAGAGGTGTG